GGGTGGTTATAATTTGAGTAAACAGTTTGTAAAGGTGACTTAAGAGGCTTATTGCAGTGGCGTAGCCAGCCTCGCGGGGCGGAGGGGGCAAACATGTAAGGGGGCGCATAATTATTAATCAATAAAAATACGGTTTAATTTAATCTATAAGGGTTTTGCAAGGGCGTCCGATAACGGGGGGGTAACAAATAAATAGGATAATTTTGCGAAATTCTATATTTTTTGTTTGCTTTTGTGATATTTGTTTATTGGGGGAAAATATTACAGGCGAAAAGCGAAATTTACGAGTGCCACGCCCAAAAAACATGAATTAAGCCTTTAAAAAAATAATGTGTGGACGTGACGTCTCCGGACGCCTTGAAAACTAGAACTTATCCGGACGGATGATAGGACAGCACAGCCAACCTAATTTAATAAAGAAATAAATAAATTGAAATTCATAATAATTGTTTTCCAGAAATTATAATGTACCTAATAGAATGAAACAGAAACTGAAATGAAAATAAATAACTATCAGACAATGACGTCTAACGATAAAGAATAAAGGGTGAAGAGGTCAATAAAATAAATAAGAAACAGCATAATTTTTTAATTTTCTTTGCTTTTGTTTTTTAAGAGCGGTAAGGGCGCCATACATGCAGGGGCGGGGGGGGGCGTCGCCCCCCCTGCCCCCCTACTGGCTACGCCACTGGCTTATTGGTAGGTAGTTCTCTAGCTCTGCTATATCTCCTTTTTTGTGAAGCAGGATTACAATGGAATTATGCCAATTTTTGGGTTGACTTTATTATTGAATAGGCAGAGGTTGAAAAGCTCTTTTATTTTTAGCAGTAGATTTTGGCCTCCTATTTTTATTGTATTGTCTTCCCCTGGCGCCTTATTATTTTTGTGCTTTTAATGCTAATTCTATTTCCTCTATGGTAATATCAGGAAGCTCTTCTGATCCTTGGTCAACAATGTCCTTTCTCGATGTCAGGATTTCGAGTTCAGGATTTTCTTCGTCATATTGACTTTTGTAAAGGAGTTTATAGAATTTCTCCGCTATATTTAATATTTCCTTTCTATTTGTCGTAAGTTTTCCATCTTTGTTTCTCATTTTGCATATTTCTTTCCTTCCATTTTTAAGTTTTCTTTGGAGTACCTTCATGCTTTTGTTATTCTCTATGGTTCGTTCAATTTCTCTCACTTTGTATTTCCTTGTATCTCTTCTTATTGCTTCGGAGATTTGTCTGTTCATTTCCATTAACTCTTCCTCTGTGGTTGCTTCTTCACTTCTTTTGTTTCCTCTTTCTTGCATTAGTTCTCTAGTTTCTTCGCTTATCCTTTGCTTTTTGGTTGCTGGGGAATGTTTATCCTGGCCTGTTGTCAGGGCCTTCACTATAGTATCGTTAAAGGTGTTTATCTTTTCCTCTTCATTCATGTTTATGTGCATTTCAGGTTCTTTTAATAGGTCGCAAATGCATTGTTGGAATTTATAACTATCAATCGGCGGGTGCCAAAGTTTTTTATTTGACGTATTGACCATTTTGTGTCGCTCCTTTTTTAAAGTGAGATGGACTTTTGCTCTTACCATACGGTGGTCTTTGCCAGTGGAAAATTTATTTAGTACATCCTTGATATGTTTATTGTCGGTCATTATAAAGTCGATCTCATTTTTTTTCAGACCGTTTGGGCTTTTCCAAGTCCACCTCCGCTTGGATTTTTTGTGAAAGAAACTATTCATAAGGAATAGGTTGTTTTGTAGCAGAAACCCCAGAAGTGTCTCGCCGCGATCGTTTCTACCCTCCAAACCAAAGCATCCAAGCGAGGTTTCAGAAATAATAGCCTTTAGACCCACTTTAGCATTAACAGAATTATGAAATGAGTTTTCCGGTCCCCCCAAGCTAGGCTCACATCCTCATAAAAGAGGTCTATTTCCTCGTCGGTGTGGGTGCTAGTTGGCGCTTGTGTGGGGTGGCTAGTCCCCCATCGGGCGCCTCCCCAGGTGGCGGATAGGGGAAAGCCTCCCAGATATGGGTGGTACCGGTGAAATCAAATAGCCGGGGTGGACTAAAACTAACATTGCGGCGTCTGACCCAGAGTGGGCGGCTGCAAACAGCGTCTGACCCACAGTGGGCGGCTGAATTCAAAACTATAAGTAAAAAACTAGAGACCCCAGGCGAGTAGGGCAACACGCTCAGAATCTCGCACTGATAGCAAATCAGTCTGTCCCACGGATTCTGGGGGGGACATGAAATTGGCAACATCGAAAAAGATATCCGATTATCAGACGCTGCACATTGCAACATACAATGCGCGATCTTTGCTTTCGGAGGAACGGTTGGTCGAATAAGAGGCAGAGCTGAGGTATATCAACTGGGACATCGTAGGTCTCTGTGAAGTCAGACGGAACGGAGAACAGCTATTGAAGCTAAAGTCAGGACATACCTTTTACTATGCGGGAGAGGAAGACGGTTCCATCGCCCTACATCGAGTCATTCAAGAAAATGTCAACTAGAGTCAATTATGTAATTATTAGGTTTATAGTCTCAAAATCATCCGAGTATATGCGCCAATTAGGTGTAAGAATAACTTTAGTTAAATCTTGCCATTCCTGCCATATAGTGTGTATACCGCCATTTGTACGCATTTTTTTTTTTCTTGAATAAAGACGTTTATTATTATTATTATTATCATGGAACTTCCTCTCCATCGATAACGATGTTGATCAGTAGAGTCAGTCTCAATGAATGGCTTGGCTTCTGATCGTCCGGTCTATGCACCATCCCGAAATGAGGTGTTTTTCTTTCTGTAGAACGAGAATGGCGCAAGTATCGACCTATGAGGAACTCTTGCTCCCAGTTTTCTGATCATCCCATGTAGCGTTATTTGTTCATCTTCAGTAAGACCTACTGATCAGGTAGTGTTCTGTGCCAGCTTGCATGGAACACTGATTATCAGTATGTCTTGATAAACTCTATCTAAAACTCGTTGGTCATCTAGCAGAATATCTCCAGTTGTTTGTTTGTTCCTAGTTAAATCTGATGATATTGTGCTCGACTATTGTGAGCGCCTCAAGCCCAGTCTAATGACTCTGACCTCTCTGAATCGGTATTGTTTATTTGAAATAAATTATACGGGTCTTCAATTTCCTGTTGAATTTCGATTTTGATGGCGGTTTTTGATATTTTGCTTGCCTAGAAGGGGCAGCACACTTATGGGACAGTAGTTCTGTGAAAACTTTAGATTATTTCAAGGCACCTACGAATACTTGAAAAATACACATTTGTACCTATCTAGTAGCTGCACCTACTTAGCTTTCTACCCAATTTTTTTGGAAGAAAAGCAACAGTTTCCGAAAGTTTATAAAAGCAAATCCAACAAGGTCAAAAAGAGCGATAATATCTGTATGTATAGTTAAATCAGAAGCTGTTTAATTTCTAGGACGGCGTGCTGCTCCAGCCAAACGGGGGCGTCGAAACAATAATTAACAATAATGCCGGCGCCATCAGAAGGACGATTCTATGGGCGCCCGTCGCGTCGCGACGCTAGGACATTATTAAGTGACACGGGTAGCCTTAGGATTTTTAGATGGTATTTATACCAGCAGCGAAAAGAGTGAAAGCACTTTTAGGTCGTAATTATTCTCCATTCATTTTGTTTAATAATGGGTTCAAGTACGTGATATAATTAGTTTATTTAAATTTTTTACGAGTCTGAATGTAACCAAGGCTAAACGAAGAAACAAACGGTTAATGAGTCGTTGTCGTATAGGTTCTACTTTAAGTATATTTCGAATAGAGATGAAACCATAGATAGATGAAGTCATAGAAAAGATGAACCGAACACCGATCCCTAAAAACTCTACGAGAAAGACTGATTTTTGAAAGTAAGAGTATTACTCATGTGCTAAAAGGATTGATTTTACTTCAAGAACCGCTGGATTGATAAACTAGAACATGGTGGTCTTCAGAATCTGAATTAGCTAACTGCTAATGATTAAAGGGAAAACACTTACTTCTTTAATATTACACACATATGAAGAATTAAGAAGGAGGTAATGAACGACATTTTATAAATCATCCACTGTCTTTTCTAGAATAAAAATATTAGTCAACATAATGTCAAGGGGTTGTAAATCAATAGTCTAACTCTCGAGGTTGTCTCTTTCCGAGAAGCAATTTTTTCAAAAAATTAGTGTAGGTATTTCATTAAAATAATCTTCCTAAAATAAAACTGCCACCAGGCACATTCTATTCGTGATGTCTAGACTGGGTATTTACACTATATTTTCTTATTGGGACATTGTTAAAATGTAAATGACAGCCTTGTCTTCTTTTATCCCCTGAAGCCTCACGTAATCCTTTATGGCTTCATTGATTGTAAATCGAATCTTGTCAAAGATAGTTCAAAATAGATTCAAAATACTTTAGCAAATTGCATTGGAATGAACTCTGTAATGGTGGAATGGGATTATCAAATACGTATACCTACTTAAGTGAAAAGTTCCATAAGAACAATTTAAAAAAATAGGATTCAGTTGTTAACAATATAACATAAAGATACTCACCTTACGTATCGTACTGAAAATATTTCAGATTATTTGAGTAAAAATATTTTCCAATATCACCGAAAACCCCTCAACAACGCTAATATTTTTCTCCAAAACACAAAATCAAGACAATCACAGATCCCGAACACACCCCAAAGGGAAAATTCTAGATTACCTGCTCATAGAGATTTCCCAAATACCGCAAATTACTGATCCAACAAGACTTAAGCTAACAAGGCTGACTATCTCGTGTTTAAGTTAGTATTAACGGCAACTAGCAAACATTGCCCGGTAAATCCCAATCCCATTTCGTAGGAAACGAGGCCCTTTGATCGGAAATTCGTCCGGAATTGGGGTACAAGAATGCCAGATATTTAACGTAATCGATTAAAAATGCCCGATAATAGGACTTAGGAGTTATTGTTTGTTGTAGGGAAAGAGCTTGTGATAAAGTAGGACAATTTCTTTTCAGATTAAAAACTGGCTGGAGTGTAAAAACAGGCAGTTTAGCAAGCTTCAGTTCAGCTCCAACTTTGAACCAACCATTAGGAGAAGACGAACATGATGCTATTGTTAATGTTATTCAAAGGGCAGAGAAAATGGACGTTACAGAGCAAGAGAGGGTATCCAAAATTACAAAATAATAAATTCCATTCATTGAAAATAAAACCATTTCTAGGTTGGCAAGTTGGTGGAGAGATTAGAAAATATGCGAAGAAATGCTTTAGGCAGAGGTCCAAATCAATGTTTGTTATGCGGTGATACCTTTGGGATTTTGGGGCCTCAAAAAGTCAGATGCGTCGACTGCGGTAGATGGGCTTGTCAAAGATGCGCCATAGATAAATTATCAAGCGGTAAAAGCCCTTGGTAAGAATAGTATGTAAAATTAACAACCATCAAATTAATAAATATTTGAATTATAGTTCCACTAAAGATCACTACCTTTGTATGATTTGCGCAGAAACCAGAGAAATATGGAAAAAATCTGGAGCATGGTTTTTCAAAAGTATACCAAAATACATTTTACCAATGGATTCTAGATTTAAACGGAACAGAAGCATGCGGGTATCTAGAAGATATAGGGACGATGAGAGCAGCTCTGACGACGAAAGAAAAGTACAGCCCTGGATTAGACAAAGGAGGAATTCTGGTACAGAAAGTACACATGGTAAGGACTCACTTATAAAGTGTAACTCTTTTCTATCGATCCACTGATAAATAATTCTATAAACACGGCCAACATCTGGTCATTTCACATAAAACATTTGCCTATTACATGGAAATACGATTTAAGTAATTTCAGTCACATTTTATGTTTCTATTTAAAAAGACGCATAGGTATTGAGTCTTGTAATGGCTGTTAACAAAAAAAAGGTGGAGTTCAAAGGTAATGGAACTTGAAGAATACAAATATTGCATCGACAAAATCATTCAAAGTTATTTTGTTTCTAGAAGTTCCCGACCAAGACTCCTCAAATTATTCACTTACAAACAACGTCAGGTATTATAAAGCATGCTCTTTGTGTGCTAATTATACTATTTATACTATTTCCAGTAGACAAGCAAGTGCCAGTAATCTGCAGCTCTCTAAAGAGTTAGAACCATTAAGGAACTATATGGGATCAATGAATTTGTCTACAGATCCTAAATCTTGGGATGAATCTACTATTGCTGAAAATAGAGCTGGTGAAGCAAATGGTAAGGTATTTTGTATATTGTAGAGCTTCTAATAGTTTATTTTAGATGGCACAGAAACTTCTAGACGAGAATCAATGGCGTCCAGGTCAATGTCGGATTGGAATTGGAGCGACACCAAAAGTAGTGATGAAAAATTGTCGCCCAGTACTTGTAGTATAAAGGTAATAAAAATAAAATATTCCTAAATGGATAGAATTATTGAAAAATTGTTTTAGAGTTCTGTGGAGATAACTGAACAAAAACCAGTAGATACTTCAATGGGTATTATAGAGCTATCATTAAACTACGACCAGGCTACAAATATATTGCATTGTACGGTCTATAGGGCTAAAAATTTAATACCGATGGATATAGGAGGACTTTCAGATCCTTTTTGTAAACTCAACATTTTACCTAATGCTAAGGTTTCTACAAGATTGAGGACAAAAACTGTACATAAAACAAGGTAAGAATAACTAATATATTTTAGGCTACTACTACCTACTTATTGAAATTAAATATTATATTTATTACCTTAATGATATTTTAACAGGTTATTGATTCGTTTAATTTATTATTTAATTATAGGTAGGTACATTACATTATTAATAATAATTACAAATAGATACATATTTTTTTATATAAATGCTCTGTCGTTTTCGTTTAACTCTACTTTATGGGATGATTATTGTATTTAAATATTCTGGTTTGAAAAGCCCAATATTAGAAACAATAGAAATTATATAGCTGAGTAAAGTTAACGAATTCTGTCTAAAAATAGATTTCGTCCGCCAATTTAAACCAAAAACAAACCAACCGGCTTAATTATAGCCAAAATCAATACATTATCATATCGTTTTTTTTTTTTTTTTTTTAAGAAAGGTAGGGAAGTTTTTGGATTTAATTTATCAAATTAGGTGGAACAGAACAATTTCCGAGTAAATAAATAAATTTATTCCAAATTTGATCCAGCCAGGACGCACCTCGGTACACACTGATTTAAATAAGCTAAACTTTGCATTTTGCATCCTAATAACGTCGTCTTTTCTAACTTGTCCGTCCTAGCATGAGATTTACTCGTTGGCTTAAAAATGCTATTTTTGGTTCTAAGGATTTTAGAACAGAAGAATTAGAAGAAATGTATTTTTCACCAGCGAGTCTTGTGTCTATTTATATTAAATAAAACAGAACATAATATATGTATACCGGGTGGGGCACGAAAAACTTTCCACCCAGGTTTTCTCAGGTGTTAGGTGTTTAATCAGAAATCGCTCAGACACGTCAATTTTTGTTTTTGGGGGACACATTTTATTAGTATTTTCACCCCCTACCTGTGAACCCCTAAGTGGGCGTGACAGGTACCCACAAAATTTCAAATGAAAAGGGGGGTCGAGTGATACGTCATTTGATAGCTATTTTCATTAAGATTGTATCCCCGAAGTTTCAAGTTGCTACTATTTACCTTGTCGAAATGGCGGCTTGTCAAAGTTAGGAAAAATCAATGGAAAAATGCTGTGTGGTTTTTACCTGTTACATACGCATAGGTGTGACAGGTAAAAACTATACAGCTTAGATTATCGAATGTAATACCACAAGAGGTTTCGGGATTACCGGATAATACTTCTACCTGTCACGAAACGCGTTACGCAGCAACACCACGACTCCGAAGGAGGAGTGGTGTTGCTGGTAACGCGTTGAGTGTCAGGTAAAAGTATTAGGTAATCCTGAAACATCGAGTGGTATTCAAAAGGTTATACAACGAACTAAACTTTAATAAATTAAAATTTAAAAAAAAATTCCATAATAGAATCTGTCATAAATGCCACCAAGCGCGATAATCCCAAAAGGCTTATCACTTGTTAAGCCTCTCGTGTCATATGGGAATAATGTACAGTGAGTTGTATAATCGAAAAAAGCATTTATCCTAACTTTGACATGCCGCCATTTCGGCAGGGTTAATAGTAGCAACTTAAAACTTTGGGGATATAATCTCAATGAGAATAGCTACCAAATGACATATCACTCGACCCCTCTTTCCATTTGAAATTTTGGGGGTACCTGTCACCCCCACTTAGGCGTTCACACGTAAGGGGTGAAAATACCAATAAAATGTGTCCCCCAAAAAACAAAAATTGACGTGTCTGAGCGATTTTTGATTAAACACCTAACACCTGAGAAAACCTTGGTGGAAAGTTTTTCGTGCCCCACCCGGTATAATACAGTATTTTTGAGTTTACAATAGAATGCCTCATTTATCAATACTTAATCTTTGTTCCTGAAGATAATTGTCTTTTTGATTCCCATTTATTTATCCAACAAGACACTATAAAAATTTAACAGAAAAAGCAATACATACCTAACTGTGCAATATACAGGGTGTCCACTTAGTGCGATATCGGACGATATCTCCTTACAGGTCGATGCAAGAAAAAAAATTAAATTACAAAGTTGTTTGATACTCTAATAGGCATTAGTTGAAAATATTTTTGAATATTGACAGTCGAAAATTGACTTTTTACAACTTTGACAGGCTGTAAAACTTAAACGGTTAATTTTAGACGAAAACCGATTTTACATTCCTATCCTAGATTTTTATAAACTATCATTTGACACCAACTTTCAATTTAATCCATGATTAAAAATTCCAGTTAAATTTAATCTCCGGTTAAATTCGAAGTTGGTGTCAAATGATAGTTTATAAAAATCTAAGATAGGAATGTAAAATCGGTTTTCGTCTAAAATCAACCGTTTAGGTTTTACAGCCTGTCAAAATTGCAAAAAGTCAATTTTCAACTGTCAATATTTCCAAAACAGTTGAACTTAGGTATAGGGTATATTACATGAAATCTGCTCAGAATTTTACATAGAATTCAAATATGCAATTACATACAGGGTGTTCTATTTAAAATAACAAAGTTTTGTCGCATACTCCATAAATGGAGCACCCTGTATATTCAAAAATATTTTCAACTAATGCCTATTATGGCCGTTTCCACCAACGCAAATTTAAGTTTACTTAACGTAAAGTGCCGCTTATATTATAATTTCTTTTCCACCAGTCTAACCTAGTCTCATTAAGATACGCTTAACTAAGCCCAGGAATTTCTAGGCTTATTCCTCCCTTAACAGAGTGGCGATGATATGCGCAAGCAATTTGCATCATGCTTTTGTTGATATGAGCAAACCTTAAAGTTGATGCTTCACAGAAAATAGCAAAAATTGAATTGAGAGAAATTTTCTTAATTGTCTAATTTCTGGTGGAGTTTGCGTTGTTGGTGTGTTTACGAAAATTATTGTTTGAAAAATGGATATAAGCAGATGATTTGGAAGTATTAGATTTGTTTGGAGATGAGATGTGGTTTCCCCAGAAAAATTTATGACAGAAATAATAATTTTGAGGAGATGGACAATCTAATGTTTTTTGAAGATTCAGATTGACAAAACCCACTGTGTTGCAACTTCTAGAACAAATTGAAGCGTCCTTAGAATTTTCTAATGATGGGTGAATTTGGAGTGATTGTGTTAAACTCATTGACTAATTTTCGCCAAATTTTTGTTTTTTCTGAAACCGATACTGCGTCCGTTTTCTTGTTTTTTATTATATGTTTGTACTTTGCCGCAAGGTTTACCAGAAGATCTTTTTCTTGGGCAGTATAGTATAATTTCCACCTCTTACCTCTTATTTTTTCATTTTCTTTCATTGTTGAACGGACGTGTTGTTGTAATAACTCGAGACGATTTGGGGTTCTTAGGCCTTCAGTAAAACTACTACGTTGGTTTACTTCATAATGTATATTAATATCATAATGCATATCCACAAGCGAACAGCGGTCATTGTACCTGCTGACTTAACAATTAGGTAACGGCAATAATATAATAATATAATATTAGCTAACTAATCAATTTGCACCATCAGATGCCATACAGGGTGTATTTACCCTATTACATTGTCGTGTTGTCGCGAGGTATTGTAAATCACAAATTAAAAGTGACCTTTTTATTTTTATTTATTTAAACCACGAATCTATCGTCAATAATTTCAAACAATTTATTTTCTGGACTTCAAAATTCCATCAAACCACTATGCAAAGCCGAGTTTGAGGTTATGATGGCGAACAAAAGCAAGGTTGCCAAAGCTAAACAATACTTAGTAAAGATTCATCAGAAAGGCGGTGGTGGAATGCAAATTTAATTAAGCGGTGCTTACATTTTAAGGGACACTTAGATATTCTCAGCTTAGAGCTTTATTGGTGGAAACGGCCATTAGAATATCAAACAACTTTGTAATTTTAATTTTTTTTCTTGCATCACCCTGTAAGTCCGATATCGCACTAAGTGGACACCCTGTATACGTAGTTTAGATATATTTTTTTTTTCAACGCATTATTTATATTTTTATTTTTTTTTTCAACGCATTATTTTAGTATTTTTTGTGTTGAAGAAAAGACTGCGACATTTTATTTTTGTCACTAGAATTGGCTTTTCCTTTGTTTCAGTAAGATGCCCCAAATTTCTTATTCTTAAATTATATTTTTAGCAATTGACAATTTTCTTTCATAAAAGTTTCATCATTGCTTGTTAGCTAATTTATTCTCTCTTCTAGATTTCCTTATTATTGATTATTTACTTTAGTTTTCAGTAAATAAACTTTGTTATCAATAATCAGCTGATATGATGCATTTTTGCGAATTATTGTGTTCTATTCTGCAATGTAGTTCACTCTATACTGCACCATTTACCGGTACTTCGAACCTTTCGAACACGCGTTCGAGTATCATCTGAAAACGACCGACGAAAATGTGTCCGTCACATGCCTTTCTGTCAAGTTCCATACTGTCTTTTGGGTCGAGGGAATGATAAGCTGATTGTGTCGGAAATTCAACGTGTTTCAATTGGCGCCCAACGTGGGGCCTTGTATTGGTTTTGTTTTTTTGGAAGGGAAACTGATAGTTGACTGACTGTATTTTTTATATTTTTATTTTTTTCAATTTAGATCTAGTGGTGCTACCAGTCTAGTAGGTACACTATATATTTATACATATATTGATTCAAGTATTTTATACGCTGGCATACTAGCATATTATAGATGTATATAGGCAATTTTTTATTTAGGTATACATATTATTTTATGTATTCTGACATTGTTTGATCAAGTATGTGGTTTTTGTAACGAGGAATACGATCACTTATCCAAATTTTGATTAGCGGTGATTAATTGACGTTTTCAATTGAAAGAGATGGACGATAAGTGTGAAAACATTCATTTTCCCGCCAACATTTGCTTGCTTGTCAATGTCAATGTGTATTGGATGTTTAAGAATCCCCTCGTTTTATTCTAATCGGAGACTTCACCGATGAGTTAGCTATCTTTGTTTAGTGAATGGAAAATGACAATAACCGACATAGAATGGTTGTTCTATCGGTAAAATTTGATGGCAATAAAAACGCAGGGAATAATTTGAAATT